CCGGAGTCTGCCGCATCCGCAGCGCGCTGTGCCTGCAGCGTGGGCCGGCGCGCAAGCTCACGGACCCTTTGAAAGGGTACCGCCCCAAACCCCACCTCCCCAAGCCCTGGAAGGAGGTTGAAGTTTCCCGGAAGAGCAGGTGGCAGGCTTTGGCAGTACCACACTTCAGGCCCTTCAGAAGCCGGACGATCACCTTGTACCTTGTCCTGGGCCGTGTCATCCTACAAGCGCGCCATACATTTTCAGCGCGGCCACCTTGCCACCAGACGGTTCACAGCACGCTGCATCGCATCCACGTCCATGTGCCCCTCCCCGGTGTAGCCTGGGTTCGCAGAGGAGGTCTTCGTTTTGGGGACTTCGGGACATGCCCTTTGCTATGTGCTGGGTGGATCAAAAAAAGGGTCGGACCTATGGCCAAGAGTGACAGGAATCTACGAGTGCCTTCATCCGATGATCGACAGATCTCATTTGCTTGCTTCGCCGAAGGTCCGCCCCAACTTCCATCAGGGTGTTCTGGTCTGGCAAAATCACAATGTTCCCTTGAACCTGATCACAAGAAGCCCTGGGTCGTGCTGCTCGGGAGCGAAGGCACCAGTCCACCGGGTGGCGTGGGAACCTGGTTTTAGATTCTGATGCACCCTAAACCCTAAACCCTAAACCCTTCTGGTTCGGTCTTAGCCTTGCCCTTCTTCATCCTTCGTACTGTCAAACTCAGCCCTGCAATAACAACATCCAAGGTGTCTAAAGGCGCACACGAAACGAATACACAAACGTTTAGGATTCAGGGTTTAGGGCTCAGGGTTACCTCATGCTGACAGCATATGGTGCCGAATGTTCACAACATGGACTGAAAGACTGAAAGCTGACAGGATGCCTGCAAGAACGCCACTGGAAACTGCAGTCCCACCAGGCCGAGACCCCCCTGATGGTGCCCTGGCCCAACCGCCTAAACCCTAAACCCTCAACCCCAAACCCTAAACCCAATATGCAGCCCAGTGGCTGCAGCACAAACACTCTGTAGTTGCCGTCGGCGTCCTTGGAAAGTGTCAGATCTGTTTTTGCTAGGCGTCTGGCAACCGCTCCATAGGGCCGTTGCACCGCTGAAAATGTAAGGTCAAAAATAATAAAAGATTATGAATATTATTAATAAAAAAAAAAAAAGATAAGAAGAATACTGTAAGTAATCTCTTGATTGTTTGTTTACTAAAATATTAATCATGTCCATATTATCAGAAGAGGCAGGAGGATTAGCAGAACGATGTGGAGTGTGCCGCCCTGTGCAGCCAGGCCTTGGGTCTGCCCTCAGTAGGAAGTGGACTCGCCTTCAGACCCTGACATCTACAATCATGTGTTAGGGTTTAGGGTTTAGGGTTTAGGGTTTAGGGTTTAGGGTTTAGGGTTTAGGGTTTAGGGTTTAGGGTTTAGGGTTTAGGGTTTAGGGTTTAGGGTTTAGGGTTTAGGGTTTAGGGTTTAGGGTTTAGGGTTGTGTTTGGGTTTGGGGGGCTCAGCGGCAGCTCAACATCCAGTCTGCAAGTGTGATGGGCTTGCGGTACAGAAGCTGACAATGTCCGTGGGATGTCTTGGCTACAGGTTATGGGCAAAGTTTGTCCAAGCTTTTGGCCCGCTTCGCGTGCTTGCACCGAATCCAATATCACCAGGCATCTTAATCCCTAAGGGCGAGGGCTTTAGGCGCTTTAGGCCCAGGCCCGAATCTGTCCCTGGAGCTATGAGCAGACTGAAGCCAGCCTTGGCATCCCCGAGGAGTGTTAGCCGTGTTATCCCACCCCCGAGGGCTTGGCCGGCTCGCCAGTGGGGTCTTGGAACTCCTGGCTGGTGTATAGGGCAGCTGAGTTTCGGCTTGCTCTCTGAGAATCGAAGCTGCATGGCCAGCCACGCAAGCATACTCTCGTCATCATGCTCTGATAACTATGGTCAAGTTCTTCAGGTCTGCTGAGGGGCAGGTCTTACCAGTGAGGTTGCGTTCAGAAAAATCCAGCGCACCTGTGTCGGTCGCACCTCCTGGAGCTTTTCACCCAACTCCTTCAGATAAGCCAAGAGCTGTGCTTTTCGCTTTGAGTGATTAAGGCGAGAGGCCCAGTGAGAGTTTTAGCCTGTGCACTACGCGAGCTAGACGGCACAGTGGCTCTTTGTCATGTTATCAGTACTGTTAATCTCTTCATGGAGCCAAACCTGGGTTTTCGACAGCTATAGCGATTATTGAGACAGACAGACAGACAGACAGCCAGCCAGACAGACAGAGAGACAGAGACACAGAGAGACAGAGAGGGAGAGAGAGGAGACCAAGAGCAAGAGCAACAGATCAAGTACAGTGATGAATTCGTGCGTTGGCCGTTGGCCTTTGGGAGAATCAGAAGATGAACTCACAAACCTTACCAAAGCAGCTGACGGATTCTGCTGGAATTCATCTCGGCCCTTGCGCACTGTCCTCTACGTCAGCGCAACGGAGGACATCCTTTGCTTAGAGGGGGGGGGGGGAAGGGGGGCCTCAAGTGCGACTGTAGAATCTGTAGAACATGAGGCACAGTGGCCCACACCTCCGGGGTATCGTTGAGGCTTTTGGCGGCCTTGGGGCTTTCCCTCACTTTTTCCACTTCATGTTCCTAACACTGCCGCCTTCGGCCTTTCCGCCTCGAAACCATAAACCTTCTCCATACACATACTTCATCGGGCTGGTTTCTGGCAACCAGCCGTCAGAAAAAAAGCCCATAGGCCTTACCTGCATCCTCCAAATTTGTCTGCAGCCATCGCGCTGCCACTGTGATTGACCTGCAAGGGGTGGCGAGCATGTGCCAACACCGACCCGCGCAAGTCTGAGCCTCCCAATCGCTTGGGTTATCGGTCGTAACCTGTCTATTGAACCTCAAAGTCTCAAAGTCTAGGTCATAGGCACGGGCTCGGGCATGAGAAGCTGAGAAGCTGCGACTTCAAGGGGCTCAAAACCTGTTTCAACTGCCAACCGTTAGGACAGAATATTGTCCTGGACACTTTGACAGTCAGACTTGTTTTGCATGTCGCCCCATAGCGTTGTGGGGAACAAGGCGGCGCGTGAGCCTCCCCCCCCTCCCCCCCCCCCCCCCCCCCCCCCCCCCGCCTCCCCCCCCTTTAGCCCAAGCACCTCCCAAGCTCCTTCCGAATCAGCTCTGCCAGGGACACTGCCTGCCACGTGTATGGACTGGCGTAAAAGGACCTTTCAGGAGGCTTGAAAATTTAGGCCCATGCGGGGGCTTCTTCAGGCTTTGGAGCGGCCTGCTCACTTCCGACTTCAGCAGAGCACATACTTGGGTCAACTTTACATATCTTACATACGTATATATATATATATATATATTCATCCTTGAATAGATAGAATTTGGGTTTCGTTTCTTTCTGTTTTTTGATTTCGGGGTTTTGGGCTTTTTCCCACGTTTTTGAAGGAGCCCATAGATATAATATCTTGAAACCCATAGATAGAATATCTCGAAGAGTCCCAAAACCCATAGATTGAATATTTTCGGGACCCCGAAAAAATGCCCGTGTTCGGCCTCCTGCACACACATTCTATCTGTGGGTTTCAAGATTCGTCAAGCACCAGATGGGGTTGCAATGAGGGCCTGCGAGACTTATGCGTCTCAGCTTCTATGTGTCTTCACTTGAAACCTGGTGTGTTCCATGTGTTCCATGTATGGGGGTTCTACGAGGGCCTGCAGGGCTTTAGTCCACGCTTGAGGCCAGGTATATTCTGTCTGTGGGGTTCCCGCGAGCAGGCTGCAACGCTGTAGTAAGTGACTGTAGTATGCTCCGGAGCGGAGGAGAGAATAGGAGGAGAGGAGGAGAGGAGAGGAGGAGAGGAGATGAGGGAGGAGAAGAGGAGAGAGAGAAGGAGAGAGGAGGAGGGGGAGGGTATGTTTCTTTATTGATTCAATAACTTAATACTCAGTAGCATTTTCCGAAAGCCCTATCGCCCCCATGCCTGCAGCGAGTCCAGCCGTCCCAGGCCCGAGGAATCACCGCACACGCGCCGCACGAGGCCTCGTCTTGAAGGTTAGCCCAATAATCACAGAACCCCTAGACCAACCAATACGGGGGGGTGGAAGGGGTGGTATAAAGGGTGTATAGGCCCTGAACCCTAAACAAATTCTTTTGTAAAACCCCATCAATCAACCTATAGGCCCTGAACCCTATTAATCCCCATTGCCTTGACCCTGAACACAGACCCGACGTCCCACCTGGTTCGGGTTTCGTGGGCACCCGATGGCAGTTTGGCTGCTACAGGGGTTTCGACTCTCACCCTCGCACAGGCGGGAGGGCTTCGGGTTACAGGTCCCTCTAAACAAAATCCCAAATTCTTTTTCCTGAAACCTGACTGGTCCTTCCCAAAGAGTCAAAACCGGCGCACCTGCCAGGGGTGTGGCTGCGCCAGCAGACGGCGAAGATGCAGTGTTGCGGATTGCCTTGGTTCCACTCTGAAACCAGGGGGGCGGGAGGCATGCTCAACCCTCTTTGTGCGACCCTTGCCCTACAGTACTTTTTGTAGGGGTGCCACGGCAGCTGGCTCCTTCCGGAAGTCCACCGTCAGCGACAGGCCCTGGCAGAAAGACGAGTTTAGGATTCGGTTAGAGTGTTGAGGTCCGACAAGCCCTATAAACTTAAACTGACGGCGCCCTTCGCACTTCGGACTCTTTCGTCACCTCCCTCTGGGTTTGAGCCGGGCATGTGAGTTGTTCAAAATTCTGCTACAGTACAGCTGTTCAGCAAAACGCTGCGTGGTCTACCAGCTCGAAGTTAGGGTCCCGGATTTTTTGTAAAGCCCCAAATGCCTATGGGAAAATTGGGGCTTTCCAAGCCCCTCAAGACCAGAAGAAGAGAGTTTGGACCCTGAAGTGTGCTCGCCTGGTTGGCCTTTGACACGCGAACTGCACCTGGATGTGACAGAAGGGCGCCGCCACGCGGGACTTGCGATGTTTACGGTGGTGATGTTCTTGAATGCTGAGGGTTTGTGGGGAGGTCTGTGTTCGTTGTGCTGCGTGGTCAGTCTCAGCTGATGATTCCCTTACGAGGCCGGGCTGCACGATTCAAAAGGCTTCGGGCGAATCTCAAACTGAACAAGGCACAACTGCAATCCCAAGCCCGGCCAGGACATCGCATCTCGCATTACTCGCTTTCTGATGATTCTTGAACCGATTGCGAATGTCAAATGCTGATTAGTCCGAACCTCCGGAATTGGGAAATTTCTCCGAAATTACGAAGCGGGATCACACCGACATGATAGCGCACCCCGGAATCTCCAAATTGCCCCCCCCCCCCCCCGCCACTGTTCCGAAATACCAGTTTGTTAAGGGGGGGAGGTTTCACGAATCAGTATTCAACACTACCTGCCCAGAAGATCGTGGACTCCTCGCTCTTCTGTTCTGGCGAAGTCACGAGAGCCTAGCGCGCAGCTACCAATTATTGTATATGGTATGGATAGGAGAAAACTCTGGACACTGAGCACCCTGAGCGTCAAGACAGCCTCGTCTGAACCCAAAGGCCTTGCTTTTAACTGTGACAAAGCCAAGTGGCCCTCTCTGCCAAAGAGAATTGCAACGGCTCGCCCCCGGTCCTCACAGGGGTTTTGGGGTTTAGCACTTGGCAACTGCTTTGTTGCCGTCCGCAGCACAGGGACGTGGTCGCCTTCGTAATCGCAGTAAAAGGGGTTCGCAGGCATTTCTCCCTCACGATGCTCTAAATCCCTGCGTCCCTCAACCCCAAAAATCCCGAAGTCTCTCTAAACAAACTTCGGACTTCGAAGAGGGTCCTCGAAGGATAAGGAGTCCTGCCAAGGTGGCCGGGGTCGGCAGAGAAGCCGGCAAAGCAGGCGACGAGGGAGCCAGGCCCCTGGGCTCAGTGAATTCGAGTTGCTGGGAGGGTTGCGGGAAGCTTATGGGGTGTAAGGGTGGAGGCTCAATTTACGTTGAGGGTTCTCAAGCATGTAACTAAGGGCCCCCTGACTGCCGGAAACGCGTCCTCGAAGGCATCCGGAACTCGGGTTATTATAGGTCCCTTAATCCTAAACCGAGAACTTCAAACCAGAGGCTGCACTTGCTACTTGTTGTTTTGGGAAGAGCTACAGCAGCAATAAGTTGCAGAAACCAGGCGGAGTAGCAACAGCACGAATAGGAAGGCGTTGTTTTCTTCTCTTGGATTTAGGGTTGGGATCAGGCTCGAGTTCGTGCCAAGTGTCCATGGTCTATGCGCCACTGAGTCTCCTCAGCTTCGCAAATGGTGTGTATGGCTTACGTGGGCCATTCAGAAGGATGCTTCTTCCTCTTTCAGATCGGCAGAGCGACGGCAGTTTGGCCGAGTGGCATCATTCAGCCACTTGGGCAGGACGAGGTAGAAGCTAATGGGAAGGCTGACCAGCAAGTACCTGAGTTTGGGGGATGTTCATCGCCATACCCCTACCCTGAAGGAAACGCTAGCCCAGATTGGGTGGTGCACACATGCGAATCACCAACAGAGCCCTAAAAACACCGCCATCCTCCCCAAGGCTTCAGGTTTGTAGGCATATGCAAATACATCTCTACGAAAATAAATAGCTAAAAACATATTTTTGTGTGATATATACCAATAATATGGGCCTAACCCCTCTTACAACGTTCAGAACCCTCAGTGTTGAAACTCTGTTTGAGGAATATAGAATGCTTCATTCGGGGTTTAGAGAGCTTATCCAACCACTTCTCGATACCTACGAGGCAGATCGGCCCAAGGTACCGATCCCCGGAGGGATATCGCGTGCTTAGGGCGACAAATCCTCGACAATGTCGGGGTTTGCAGCGGGGTTAGGTCTAGGGACCTAGGCCGAGTTCGGAAGTCTTGATCTTCGTGCCCTGAATCGTCTGGACTTGACCAACGACACTGAGCACTCAGCACCTGCTTGACTGTCTCAGCCGATGAAGTGGATGGTTTTTGGGGTTCATGCAAACGGTGCAGCGCCCGAGTTTTGGCAAATGCTCGAAAGCAAAAACAGTCATGCAAGATTAGCAAGCACATGCCACATGCTGCGAGATTTTCGGCCTAGTGAGAGATTTTCGGCCTAGTGACTAGTGCCTATAGGATCTTAGGTTTCAGGATGAGGTCTGAAGACAAACGTGGTCTTCAGCGCTCACGAAACCCATACACAAGGAAACTCGGGTTCCCCGTCTAGGTACCTTGTGCAATCGGACATCAACAGGACCGCTCCGAGGAACCTGAACTTATAGAGCAACACCCAAACAAGAAGCTGTCCTGCGCAGAACAGCAGCTGCAGGTATGGCGAGGTCTTGGCAGAGGCTGCTGATGAATGACAAATTTGATCTTTCCGGGGGGGGGGGGGGGAGTCTTTCAGGGACAGGGCTGCCGAAGACCTTGAACCTCAAACCCCCCCCCCAAAGCTGAATGCTCCCTTTTTCCTCAGACTTGCCAAGCCTTTTGGCCCTAAGGGCCCTAACGCTTAGCTAGTGCTCAACAGGTGGCAGTCTTCGAAGTTCATGGGCTCATGGGCCCTCATGCATGCGACCTAATTACTTGCTGTAGCTGAGTTCAAGTTCGGGTCGCGGGATGCGCCTCAGCCCTAAAGCATCCCGAAGGCTCTGCCCACCTCTTGCGCTCTCCTTGATTTGCGCATCGAAATCCAGGAAATGAATCCCCGTCCTCTGCGATTGTCTCTTTTAAATTGGCAGGCACATCGCCTGTGAACCTGCAAAAACCCCGAAACGAACATCCGGAAACCCTGAACCTTACCCCTTCGCTAGCCCGATTTGCCGCCCGGAGCATTAAGGAGAACCTGACCCACGACAAGCACAGTTCTGGAATTTCAAGCCGAGTTTAAGTTTGACCTTTAGCTTACTTGATCCCATTTCATCTTCGCTCTTGTGTGCTCCCTTGTGCTGACTGGAACTAGCAAGCAACAGGGGCACTTTCTGGTGGACGAAGCGGCAAGTTTCTCATCCAGAACCCTCGAAGCACAATGCCAAAGATCAACGAGGCGTTTCAAACCATTCGACGAGCACATAAGGACAGGGCTGTTCTGCGGTGCACGTCATGTCTGCGCAGGCTACTTGATGTTGTCAATTTCTTCTCGTGTGCTGCTACAACAGAAACCAAATCAACACCCTGCAAGTTCAGGGCAGGGTCTTCCCATCTACAACAGAAGCGTACAAGATGGTCAGAGCGGCATCAACAAGCATGAAATCTGCGCTCAAAAATGCCCCCCCCCCTCTCCCGCATGTTGAGAAGGGTGCTTCCTGAGCCCGTGGCCAACAAGCCCAGGAGAAGCGCCAGAAAAGCCAGCGGCAGAAGCACGGCAGCCAGTTGGACATCGTGGGGGGCCTCAACGTCCAACCAAAGAATCTCAATAAATCGGCGAGTTGGGAATTTGACTTGGATCTCATCGACAACATTGAAGAATATTGAAAGTCGATGTGGGATGTTGGGGGTTGTGGGCCGGAATCGAAGTGGCTTCTCCAGGCTTTCGCACCTCGTACCCAAGTACACCACAAGCGAAAACACTAACACAGAGCCTTCAGTAGCAAGTGCAATGATTGCCACACCACAAAGCACTGGAAGCTGACTGATTTAGATCTACGAGCAACAAAGGTAATCACAGCACATGATGATAACATCAATGAGTCAAGGACACCCAGCTCCTTTTCTACGTCCCTTTCCGCCCACCTTCTGATGCTTCGGTAAAGCTTTCGTCAGAACTCGGCCCCAGCAATAGAGAGTGCTCCAGCCTCTCGCACATTCCCGACTATGACAAGTCTGTAACCATCGACCATGAAGCACGCCGAACCAAGCCTTGCTGCCGCAAGGGTGCCTTGCGGCTACGCTTCCATGCAAGCAGACTGGCCAAGGCAGCCTCGAACGCGGGGCGGTGTAGAGATTGGGGCTCAAGGGCAGAACCCCAAAAAACGCGCCGCGGAAACCCTGAACTTGCCCAAGCCCCACGGTTGGTGCTGCTTCGGCCCTCTGATGCTCTGATGCTCACGCATGCCCTGTTTGGGGGGAAAGGGGGGGGGGTCCAAACTCAGCCTCCCTCTTACAGCAGTAAACCAACAGGCTTTCTGAACTTTACACCCTCAACCCCATCCTGAACCCTAAAACCCAGAAGGTCTATCCTGAACCGTAAGCCGGCACCCCTTCTTGCATCCAGGCTTGGGCAGCCGGCCCCCTAAACCCTAAACCTTAAAGGAAAGCCCAATGACATCCCGTGTCGAAGGCCTGGGCCGGACAAAGGAGTGGCGTCGGGAGGATGCCAACGAGGAGCAGCAGCACGTCAGCAGGGCTGAGGCCTTTTGGGAGGTGGGCTTGAGGTTTAGTTCAAATCATATTGGTCATCTAAATAACTTGATGCATTTACATAAGTCATGTGATTAGTCTAATGTACTTAACTTAGTCAAGCTCCCAAAGCCACGTGCAACACTACACAAATAGCTCCCAAGGCCTGGAGCCACACCTTAAATTCCTACGGCCCTGTCGTCTTCAAAACTTCTTGAAACCTGAAGCCCCCCAATACAAACGCCCATCTGCGCTCTTTGCAAGCAGAGGCACTCTCATAAAACCGCCCCTGGCGGCCCAACGGCAGAAGTCGCGTGTACGCTAGTGCCTCTCGCAGCGGCTGTTGGTTTGCCGGAGGGTTGTGAGCTGAGGGTTCTTCAGGGTGGGTTCAGGAATTGTGAGTTTGCACTTGACCGGCTGCTACAGTACGTTTGCCAAGGAGCTCCTGCAATCGACAAGTGGAAACCCATCACGCAGTTGGTCGGTGACAAGGCCCCAAGCATACCAAATCCAAGATCCCACTTGTTGAGCAGAGCGCCGCCCAGGCATAGGGCAGCAGCAGCAAGCGCTCGAAGAGGCCGAGCCTAACTCTTCTATGTTGCGGGGCAAACAAAACCTATAGAATAGTTTGTCTTAGGTTTCAGGGGGTTTTATAGAGGGGCGTTTAGGGTCTTTTCAGGCGGTTTTAGGATGTTTTAGGGTTTAAAATATAGGGGGTTTTAGGGTTTAGGTGTTCCCTACAGTTGCCACAATGGCAAATGTACGTAGAGCGACTCCTTCAGTAAAGACTGCTGCTGCAGAGCGGGGATCCTTAGGGACATCCTGTCTCGACACTTGCTGCGAGCATCAGCAGCAGGGAGGCATATTGTTCGAAGGATTGAACTTCATTGCTCGTTTAGCCTCAGGATGGCGATGAATCAAAATGACAGGTGCAAGCACGTCCCACAGGGTTCAGGGTTTCGAGTTTAGGACTTCAGCGTTTTGGCGCCGACTTAGCGGGAGGCTTTGTCCTTCGCCCCCAAGTGACCCTAAACCCATAAAAACCCAACAGTTGAACCTTGCGCCTCCCTAAGCCTCTGACGGCTCTACGATGCACTACTGTCGCCACGCAGCACGAAATCCAAGATCGGGGAGTCGAGGACGAGGAGCGCCAACAGAGAAGGCACCGCCACCTAGGCAGAGGTCCAGCCGGGGCGCGAATCTGTTGTGCCACCCGTCTAGAGAGACAAAACAAAAGCAAAGTTGACTCTGCCCAAACAAACTTTTGGCCACCTGAAGTAGCCCAATATCAGAATGACTGCTTAGGAGCACGCCGGGCTTCACGATTCCACTAGCATCACCACGGTGCATGTAGACTTTTGGTTTGGGGCTTCAGGAAGCCCCAAGCCCGATGATTCCTACTGTAATTGTTCTGATGCTTTGCAAAAATTCCTCCTAACTAAACACATTGCTCTTCACAAGGGGCTTGACTCAACTGCTGCCCTTCTTGCCCAGCTCGTCCCCAGACCGCAGCACGAATACTAATGTACTGAATCTTCTTGGTAGAGATACGCTGCTTGCGAGTTCAAGATGACCAAACTTGGGTGCTTGGTAGCTGGGTTCAAAGACTCGAATCAAGCCTCGACACCTTGACGGCGCTTCAATCGGCCCTGAAGCCTATAAGGTAAGCCCTGACGGCAACACAAAAGAGAACTCTGAGTCTCAAGAGTTCTTATCTCTACCCCAGCTTGTGAACAACCACAGCCTTAATTTTACGCAAAGGTAAGGAAAGAGCTCGGCAAAGGAAAGAGAGCCAGAACCAAAGCGCTTCAGCCTCAATGCCTCGTCACCCTGAACTTTCTTGAAAGCTACTTCATGCAAGGACCAGGGATCCTTCTCTCAAATTATTCACGAAAATCCGGGACTCTGCAGGCTGCTGAGCTTTCAGCCTTTTTACATCCGCGCACTCATGAGCCTAAACCCTCAAAGATGGGTGGGCCCCACTGAACCTTGCACGCCGGGGTCGCCTGCACCAGCGCGACGAGGTACCAGGGCCGGTAGAACCTCGAGGTTTAGGCTTCGTGGCTTATGGCGGCCATGGTCCGAAATAGAGATAGAGGAGCAGTGGAGCCGAAAACCAATGAGGCTTTGGGCATCCCAAATCCCAAACATGAACCATTCCATGCGAGCTGGTAGCCGCTCGCCCCCCAAAGTGCAACTAAGTCGGGTGTCTCCGGGCTAACTCTCACAAACCCTGAACTTCCGTAAGCAGGCACCAAAGCCCTGGCAACAGCGGGATTCCTCAGCACTCTTCACCTCCCCGCGAAACCCTCCCCGTCCCAAGCCCTTTGGATGCCAAAACCTTCCACCCTACACCCTAAACCCCAAACCCCTAAACCCTATCAACCCTCCAAGGCCCCGAGGGCCCAAGCCAAGCCCGAGCCCAGGCCTCAGCATCTCTCGCTGCACGTGACGGAGGTGCTCCCAATGCCTCTTCTCACGCTCGCTCTGCAGCTGCAGCTGCTCCTTGGGTTTGCGGTTTAGCGTTTAGGGTTAAGGGGCCTACTGAAGTTCGGGGGTTGAAGTTGGCCGAACTCTCTTTTCCATGCCTTTGATCCTTTGGAAAAGTGAAAGCTGAATCAACACCACTGACATCCTTAAAATCCCAATCCTCGCGGCCGGAACGCTCCGAACCCCCCCCGTTCTCTCTCTGAAGCCTCGGATCCTGCAGACGGTGTCTGTCCACTTTCCCGGTGACGGGGTGGCGGGGAAGCCTCAAAACCCGCCGCGGTTTGGTTTGTCCTTTGAGGTCCTTTGATTGAGGGAGGGTTAAGGTCTATAGGGGTTCGGGGCTCATTGGGTCGGACAGTTCAGGACTTCGGCATGGGGTTTCTCGCTGCTTGCTCTGGTCTGAGGCTCAGGTGTCAGATCTCAACACACCGGAATCCTGAGCCACCCTCACTTAAGGGGTATAGAGAGGAACCCCTAGAAGGGACCCTTAATCTTATTCCCCTATATGACCCCTATATATACCTTAAACAATCCCTTGCCCCTGGCCCGTTCCCCTGAGCCCGAAATAATACCTTTGCCCAGAAAGCCCACAATGCTGAAACAGGTTCCCTATATAAAACCTGTAAGGAAAGAAGAATGGTTCCCTGTATATACCTGTAAGGAAAGAAGAATGGTCCCCTGTCATCCCCAAGCCAACCGCAACCACGTGGCGCGTTTCGGAGATTGAGCCGAACGCCCGGTCCTCGAAGACCCGCTTTTTTTGGCTTCAGCACTTCTGGTGTACCAGTAGGATCCACGTTTGGGCCGGTCGTTCGAATAAGTCTCGGCCAAGGAGTTTTTGGTTGCAAACTAAATGCTTCAAGATCTCAAGGAGTGCCTTTCGGAGCCCCTAAGGCCCATGTCCGCGCCCGACCAAACCTGACCAGAAACTCTAAACCCATTTGCAAGACCTAAGTAGCTTAAGTACACTCCACCCTGGGATAGAAATCCTGCATCCTGAGCCGTTTTACACACCGCACGAAAACGGCCGCCTGCGACACGTGCCACTGCGGCGACTGTTTCAGAGAGAAGCCGGGACCTCAGAAAAATGGCAAGCGCGCAGCTCGACCATCTCACGATGCATTTACTTTGAGCGAGAGATATAAAGGGGATGTCCCCTTTCGATGGGGCTATGCTCGAGCGTAGAGTGGGCAAGGCTTGCAAGGCATTTGCCGCACATGAGCTCAAAGTCGTCTTCCTACACGACCCGAAGCCAACATCTTCTAGGTTGAGCTGAACACACATGCGAGTATCACCCTTGCGGTTTGTGCCAGATTGGGCGACAGAATGCTGGGCATGCAGGCTACAAGCAACATCAGCTGTTTCACGTGGTCCAGCATTTCGACCTTGAGGGGGGGGGGTTTGCAGTAATTCATTCACTTGGACGCCCCGAGGTCTGACGCGCCCGATTGCAACCAACAAGGCGCAAACCTAACATTTCCATTGCTGCAACCCCCAAGACCAGCGGGCTATCCAAATCTAAACCATGCAACTTCCCAACCCTTGCTTGTTGCTGCCAATGCGACAAAGCATCCTCCTGACATGCTTGATACAGGGTCTAAGCATGGAATCTGTAAAGAGAAGTAGCATCACATTAACAAGGACGCCCGTGCAGCTCTATCTCAAGACTTTCCACAGGCACTGCAAGCGGCAAGCGGTTGAGCAATGGGTCGTCAGAGAATTTAAAGTTCCATTGCGGCACCGACTACGACGAAAAGCCCTCAAAGGCTCATCGACGACCTCACCACTCTCTCTTTCTCTCGGCACAGAATGGGTTTAGGTTTTGGTAAACTAAACATGCCCCCAAAACCGCAACATTCTCGATCCTGCTTTTTGCACTTCTGCAGTCGCAATCTAGTCGTACTCTGCTGCCAGCCTCCAGTGTGACGAAGGCCTCGAGGCCCTCCGGCCCGGCGACAATCACAGCATCGGCGACGCCGCGCGTGGCGGCCACAGAAGCAGCCAAGGCCTAATTTTTTCGCATTGAGGGGCTGCTGCATTGGCACAATGTCACTCTTAATGGGTCAAGCCGAAAAAACACGTCTGTTATGACTCTGGCTATATGAGTCACACCTACGCCTCACTGGCCAACTCGGAACCCTAAAGCCTCAAAGCCCCCGCCCAACCAACCCTAAACCCTAAACCTATCTCACATGTCCCCGGGCCTCGATGTCCACGAACTGGCCACCACGCTTGGCCAAAGCGCCCAGGCGCCCGCAGAAGACGAAGCGCCCGGCCTCGGAAGAGCTTCGGCAGGTGCAAGAGCTGATTTCTTCAGGCTGGCCAGGCCTACTGGGTTTTCATGAGCATCGCACGCTCCATGCCGGTGCTTGGTTTAGCACTTTGGGATTGTAGGGACAGGTGGTGTGGTCAACTTCGTCCTTACTAGTGAGGGATGGCTTTGTACATGGATCAGGAGTGGGAGTTGAGGAGTTCAAGGTCAGGGCCTCGTAAGCCCCTCTACAGCAGCCAAATGCAATGCGGTGAAGTGGCTGGAGTACCCAAAGGCTGCGCATGCGCAACCCCCACCTCCCCATCTCGAAACCATCACTAGCGGCCAAAAGAAGCACAAATGCATACAAAATGCCAATCATGAAATCCAAAAAGGTGTAGCTGGGACGACTCTAAAACCTCAACCACCTACAGGTCGAAGTCTGAGAATGCCCCCACCAACTCCGGCACAAACCGCCAGCCGCTCCAAGGCAGCTCATGGCCCGCCCTGGTACTGCCAAGTCCTACGGTAAACCCTAATCATGCTAACGCACCTCCCGTTGAGCCATGGTGCCCCAACTGCACGCAATCGGTCGCGAGTCCGCAGGTATCGTGCACCCTCGACCCAGCACTCGCCTAGGGGTTCAATTCGATTTGGACCGTGGTGAGTGGAGCTACCGCCCGTCGAACACCACGCGAAGTTTTTGCAAAGTCTTCCCCTGGCTGCACCCCAACGTCGACAAGTCTCAATAAAGCAACTCATAGCTTTCAGCTGCATATTATCCCAAAACCCTGAACCCTTTATTATTCCGAAAGCCCGCTAACCCTCATGGCAAAGCAAAGCGGCTGTCTGCATCGGCGCTGGTGGCGACCCTGCATGAGTGCGACGGTGGTGCGGGGTCAGAAAAAGAGGACTCCAACACCCACAAGGACCAGAAGAACAGCCTGAATCCCGTGGTCTTGCGCCACGAAGAAAAGCACACATGTTTCCCCCCAGCATTACCAGACTCAGATACCATGTACACTTGCTTCCGCCGGGAAGCTTGGTCCAATCCCTTCCCCTCCCCACCCGCCCCGCACAAGAACATGAAAAAACGGGCAGGCAGGAAAATAATGAAGATCAGCAGGGACTGAGGAGGGACGTGTCGGGTATGTTTGTGGTCAAACGGTTGTGGCTCTGCTTCCGAGGGGCCAATGAGAGTAAGGGGGGTTTAGTATGGTTCAGTTTTTAGTGGAAGGGGCAGATCCAACGTGTGATGCGAATTTGGACTGCTGGAGACTTTCACGGTCAAGTCTTGGGATTGTCAACATACCACGACCATCCTCCTCCCACAAACCCTATGTCTTAGCCCCTTGAGCATTCCCTTTGTCCTCGCCTCCCGTTTTCGCCGACATAGCCTGGTGACACAGTGGCACCTGCACGTGGAGAAGCTGATTTATGATCAACCGCAAGCGCCCGGTCTTGAGCTCAGCAGCAGCACACTGTGGGGGTTGATGCCAGCACACTAATCTGAATGCCTTCTCCATCCTGAGGGCACTTTTGGATTCAATCCTCAGTTGGAAGATTTCTCATTTCGAAACTTCGGTTTAGGGCCTGGATCCCGGAGCCGCTGCACGAACCTCAAGCCCCAATTACTAGCCCCAGTCCCGTTCACGGTTTCGACCCTGCTTTATGGTAAGCCCCGTGCTCAACCCACAAAACCCTACCATGTTGCATGCCTTAAGATGGTGCTAGTGCGACCACCCAGGTGCTAAACCACTGAGGCCCTAGATCCTATCCCTCCCCGCCCCCCAAAAAAACATCTGCAACCCGCTAGCCCTGAATTCCTAGTAAACCAGGCATACACCCTAAAAAGGAGCTGACTCTGAAACCCGAAAGCCCGAAAAACAACGAAGCTTCAAAAAAACCCGAGGCCTTCGAAACCCTAACCCGGCCTGCCAGCAAGAGCTCGCCTTCGACGCCGGGCGTGTGCGGCTGCAGCGGGGTTCCGTCCGGAGACCTGGGTTGTGTTTGGGTTGTGTTGGCGCCTTGGCCTGGGAGGTTGGAGGGCTGTGTCGCTTCGGGTTACACTTTGATTGGGTCCCCCCCCCCCCCCCAAAAAAAAAAAAACACATGCAGCACACATCGGCCCTTTAGGCGGACGCTGTAGCCTTTGCGCAAGCCCTAGACATGGCCGGCAGCCCGCTCAGGGCTTCTTAAGGCCTACGGAGAACCACTGGTTTAGGGCTTTTTGGGGTTTGGAGTTGTCCCATCCTCAGCCCCCTTGTCTTAGAGAAGCAGCAGGAGCAACATGGGTAGCGACGGCAGAGGCTGGAAGATATGCTTCTCCTTCCAAGAACGATTCTGGATTCGGAGTAAGCTCATCCAGGGCTTCTTGGTAGCGCAGCAACCATATTGCAATGAGGTTTCTTTGGCTGGCTACTTCTTTATGGGAACCTTGAACCAAAACACAGGGAAAAGGGTACCACTGGGCTGCCAAGGCTTGGATGGATTATTCATCGATTCTGTGGAGTTGTGTAACACGTGCGGCATGTATGGCATGTATGGCCCTCGACTTACCGGGAGTTACCCGGCGCCGTCTCCGACATCTGAGATCTGATCTCAAGAATTCGAAACCACTGAGACTGAAAATGGAAGCCTCAGGACTCCCAAACTTATAGCTGCCACCAAAACAGGACCGACGATTGGGTCCTGCCCATCAAGGGGATCTTTGCAGGTCGTGCAATCACTCGCCAGGGCGAGCCAGTACTCACCTGGGTGCTGAGCCCTTCTGGGGCCCTTGGCTTTCTGGCCGCTCAGCTCTTGGTTAAGGTATCCCGGAGGAAAGTTCTAGGTTCTGGGGTTTGATTTTCGGGTGGGAGACAGGGGCTCTGCAACAAAGGAATCCTCAATGGATCACCAGAAGCTTTCCAATGAGCTGCTCTCAACTGATCCCGGAACTTCGGCTGATCCCCTCATACTTTCGTGAGGAATCGTACGCGGGCTGAGAAAGCCAAAAGTCTCCAGACTCTCAGCCACAGGCCTATCACACTTGGACGTATCCCACCCTTTGCATTCCCCCACTCAACACTTCGCCTCAAAAAGGACCCATCTTATTGGATAAGGCCTCAGAACATGGGGCTTGTAAGTTGGGATGCTCCCCTTGCAAAAGAGGAGATTCGGGACCCAGTCTAGAAAAAAACATCCCGACCCTGAAGGGGTGGCAGGCTCTAGGGATGATATCCAGGGCACTCGCAATGAGGAGGTCCACGACGTAGCATGCCTTGCGGTGCTCGTACCCTCTGCTGAATGACCCTTTGGGTTGGTTCTGCTGGTGAAACCTGTCCCATTAAGGGGACTCAATGATGCTCACAACTTCCAGCTCGGGCATGCCAGAGTTTTTAGTATTTGGAGCCTGCACGTAGCCTGTAGCCGTGGCCAGCTCTGCAAACACGCCGGGACAAGTCTGTTACATGCTTCGGTCAAGCGGTCCTTCAGTTTGAGCCCCATCTTGGGAAACAGTCCAAAACTCGAAACATCAACGGATGAACTCTAAATCCTCACACGGGGAGCCCCAACCATCTCAGGCCCTGTGCTGCGCCTTCGTCCAGGCCCGGCTAACTTTGACCGGGAGGGCCTTTGGACAATTGGATGAAAGGCAGGGTCAGGCTGGAGTTAAGTTGCTCCAGTGCATTTTGAGCAAAGCTGAAGGGCATGCACTGGGAATCGACCAGGAGTTTGAAAGAGTCAAGGGCTTCGTAGAGCATCTAACGTGTCCTGAGCCAAACAAGGTCAAAGCAAACCCAAGATTAGTGTCCCCCCCCCCCCCCCCGCCCTGCTGCTTCAGCCCGAAAAGCAAAGGCTTAGGGTTTGCGACTCTGCGACCCCTAATATGCTGAACCATGGCAGATGCTGAGTCATGACAAGGAAGAAGCTGAGGGTTCAAGGCCTTCGGGCTTTATGTAGGTTGTCCAGGTTGAGTGGCCAAGGCTCAACCCGGAATTTGTCGACCCGAACCACATCTCGCAAAGGTGTAGCGACTGGTCTTGGATGCTGTGCCCTGCTCGAGGTCCAGACTGGCACCCCTTTGCGTTTAGGAAACTTGGGCTTTTGCAGCATCAGGGCGCTTGGTAATGATGGAGTATGTCTCAACGAGACCAAGACTTCACACCCACAAAGCGAGTGAACCGGAGCAAACTTGATCGTCGCCGCGGCCCACACCCTGGCTCCGCGTGTCCCTCGTTACGCTAGTTGCTAGCTCCAATAGTCTGCCCGGCACACCTGAGAAGTGTGGAGCCAAAGCGCATTTCGCAATCGACCACCCCATGAACGCCTAGGATTGCCCATGCTGCAGGAATGAGTCGGAATGAGAGGGTTTTCGGGTTCAGGGGTTTTGCGTTTAGGGTCAAGCAGGCGCACCTCTCCCCACGTGAGAATCACACGCAGACAAGGCGGAGCAGAGGCCGGCCCTCGGCAGACCAAAGAAGGCTTGCCCAGTGTGAGATGTCTGCAGGAGAACTCCCCTACGAAACTTTCGGGCATGAGGAAAAACCGCAGTGCAATCGACGATAAAAGCTCCAGGCTTTGCCCATGCACGTGATTGACCTGTTAACTGCAGATTATGTCGAAAATGCCTTACTTCGACCCGAAGTTGCACTCGGCCCAGCTCCACAAGTGCTTCAACAGATTGCACACCACAAGCCTGAAACGGTTATCATGGGCGCTGCCTCCAGGATACGTTGCCCGGAGCATGGAAGGAACCTCATGGCGACGGCTAAGTTGCTATGCAGAACCACTCCATATGCGAGATCTTTGCTTCTGAATGTTGGTGGCGTCGCAAGGGATTTTCGCACAGCCAACCTCACCAACGTGGCCAACGTCCTTTTACGGGATCCCTGCCTTGGTGACGCTATGCTGCCGGTAGGGCCGAAAGATGCTTGTTGTTGTATGCCCCTGCCCGGATTTATACCCTTCACTTTTGAAGTGCTACAACATGCTGCGAAGCGCCTCATTAGCAGGGAAGGGCGAGAAACATCCTCATGTGCCTGGACTCTTGAGGCTGTCAGGATCCGAGCCTGAAGACTCATCGTTCCTCTTTTCCCGACAGCGTTGCGGCTCTCATGGTTTGCTCATGCTCCATGGCGAGCGAGTGACAGCAGCCTTTTCTCAAGCCGGCGAGGTGCTCGCATCTCACTGATCATCTCAACTCATCTGGGACCCTAAACCCTAAACCCTAAACCCTAAACCCTAAACCCTAAACCCTAAACCCTAAACCCCTAAGCTCCACTTCTGAAGCCTTTGTCTGCAATACCCAAGGCCGTGACAAGCTCTCAACTTAGGACCGATTCGGTCTGCCATGTTGCACCAAAGCCCCTACGCCCCGTATCCCTGTGAGCTCGTCAGATGAAAATCATCTCGGACCACGTTCGCAAACCTGAAACCTTTGAGATTTCTATGCAGGTGAAAGGCATGATGCAGCATGCCATCCGAACGACTTGGGAATTGAAGATTTCAACTCACAGATCTAGAAGGCTAAGTGTGCCAGGCGAGAAGCAAACCTTTAGTCATAGAGCTTGTCGTCCTTGCACCAAACCATGCCATGCTTTCTCAACACGAACCCAAGCGACCGCTTTCTGAAGAGACATGCCCCAGGCTTGATTCTGGCGAGTATGATTGAACAACATGGACCTCACGCCGAATATTCCGTCATCAACATATTCATCCCAGGTTGCCAAAAACCACATCCCTCATATGTCTCATGAACAAAAAGACCAACAATGAGGAAACCTCACACCTGCCCACTGTAAAACAAGCAAGCCTGCACAAAGCTAACCCCTTAGTCCAAGGCTCCAGGATTTCTGCAGCCTACGCTGTGTACAAGCGCAGCCAACCCAGCTGAAGCTTTACCGGTCTAAGATTGGGGCCATTGACTCCCTAAACCTTTTCCTGCTTCAGGTCTTGTGGGGTAGTTTGCCTGTGACTGAGGTTGCGCCTAAGTGAAACCGAAACCCCCCAAAAAAGCCCTTGAACCCTAACCCCGAGATGTACTGCATGAATGTTTTATCTTTCAGGCTGTTCTTTATTCTCAGCAACCTTCTGAAACATACTGCAAGAGAACCTCTGACATATGTTCCTTACTGAGAGGATTCCATGATGCCTGCTGCTGAATCGTGGGCCTGCTGTTAGTATGCAATCTAAACTTAAGCGAACATTGTTTCGGTCGTTGTCGTGACTGGACGATCATGCGGTTCGCAGGGTTTCGACGTTCACCAGTCAACAAGCAGTCACACTCCGAGGAAATCGGCACAAGAAGGGCTTAGGGCGGTGGTATGCCAGCGTATTGCGCACGATAACCAGACCCCGCATGCATCACGACGGTTCGCCGTCTCACGCGCGTCAAGGAATCACAACACTTGCTGGCAGTGCGCATTTAAGCGGTCTACAGTGCGGGTGTAGGGTTTCGGGAATTTCGGGAGGCTCAGCCCCTTCAAGGAATCCGAGAGGCAGTGCCGAGAACCGAGATGCGGTAGTTTTCCACGGCTGCAGCCAATCCTTGCTAAAGCGAAGCTGCAGAAGTACAAACTTGCAGCTTTACTGCTGTTTTGTTTGAAAGGACAAAGTCTGGGACAGCCGGCCTACAGTACAGTTTAAATTTGAAAGCTAAAGGTCGCTCCCACACCGAATCGCTAAACCACAGTCTGCATGGCTCTCAACCGAATCTAGGCACCCCACGGTAGGCCCTGTCTGGACGAGTTGGAGGTCTTCGGGCTATGAAAGGATGGGTGCGTCGGTATCAAAACCTGGCGATGTTCCCCCTTATACTAACAGTCCTTAATTGGGATTACACCATAAGCCCTAAGCCCTAAGCCCTAAAGCCCTCCAGAGCAGCCCGGACGCCTTTGGCGCCCGGCTCCGTCGGGACAAAGACAACGCTAGCACCGAAGGCCAAGGCGATGTCGATCCTAAGCTTGTTGCAGAAGTTTCGGGTTTAGGGTTTAGGGTTCAGGGTTTAGGGTTTAGGGCTGCAGAATTGTTTAAACCTGCAAAGGGCGTAGGGTTTGGCACGCGCTCTCTGCTAGCAGTCCACAGCGCAGGGGTTAGGGTTTTGGGTTTAGGGTTTAGGGCCGGGTTTGGGGTAACCGAAGCCCCAAGTCCTCAAACTAAACTTAAACCAAAACTGCAACCCCTATGCCAAAGCCCAAGATCTCCAGAAAACTCCAAAAACGTATGCCGAAGCCCCACACCAAAACCCCGGCCCAGACCCCCACATGCGAAAACTAGCATCGGGCATTTTCCCAACTGGCGGTCGGGTGCAGGGTTATACCCAAAAAGCACACAGCTCCAACAAAGGAAGGCAAGGACCAGGTGAAAAAGCCGGTGTTGGAGCCTAGGAGTTTCAGAGCCGGCCTGATGGCGCAACTGACAAAAACTTGTTTCTGCAAGGGAGGGCAAACGTGCAACAACGTCCAAAACAGTTTCAGAAGAGGAGGTGCTGAAGATTCTAGGGATGACTCTCACAGGCACGCGGCAAGGCTTCGGCAGATCTCGGTCAGTCAGGACTATGAACCAGACATCGCCGACTCGAATATTCCCCCCCACTTCTTAACTTGGGTGAGGAACCAGAATAACCAAGTAGTGGTAGTGGACCCTTTCATCATGTGTTTAAGGTTGTCGGCTCAGGGGGCAGATTGCGCCCTAAATCCATAAGACAAAGGAAGGACCTTGCCGTCCCGCGTCTGGCCGAAGGCAGCGGCACCCCAGTAGGCCGACGTAAACTGAAGCACCTCGGAGACCCGAAGCTCAAGGCTGTTTAATTCTAAACCTGAAAAACCGAACGATTTCACCTCCCCTCCCCACCCCTCCCCCTCCCCCCCACCCCCCCCCCCCCAAAAAAAAAAAAAAAAAACAGAAAAAAACAAACAAGAAAACCCCGCCGCCAAAATCGACGCCCTTAGAGATTCTATTCTTAACTAGCTCTCACAGCCCCGAAGCTCACCCGGAGCCCTGGTCAACCAATTGGACCTCCGGCCCTTGGTTCCCACCTGTCTTGGGGTTTGAAGGTTCAGGACCATTCACCTTGCGGCCCTTGAGCTGCTCAGACCTCACGTACGTGGAGAGACTGGGGAAGAACTTCCCTATGCCTCGTTTCCTTTGGATGGTGGGGGATGCTGTATTGGTCCAAGGTGTTGGGTTCCAAGTCTTCAGACTTATGAGGTGCTTCTATGAAACCTCGTGGTACGCCAAGAAGCACGATCGCTGCTGGACATCCGCCCTTGCATCACCTCAGCAGCGCTGGAAAACAGATTTCTGGGACTCCACGGGCAGGAGCCAGGTGTCGAGAGAGAGTTCTTGCTTGGGCTGCTCATGGAGATCTTGCCTGAAAGCATCGTGAAGGTTCGGTTTTCAGGGTGTACAGTGTACAGGCTGTTGCATGCAGGGGTTCGATGCTCACGCATGCTCACGCCGGCACAGGCTGACGAGGATCCGAGTTCGAAGGCCAGCTGAGATGTGAACTCATACATGTGACGAGTACACCGAAACTAATGACGAGGCGAAGCGGCGGGGTTGACGTGAAGATGTGAAGCCATTGTGGGGCAGCCAAGCGAAGAACACAGCACACCCCATTTTTTGGTTTCTGTATCGGCAAGCATCCAAAGAGCCAATGTCATTGGAGTCGAGAGAGCACAGAAAAGAAGCGATGACAAGCACGAACAACGACAGCTGCTTAGAGCGTTGGTCTCTAGGACTGTGCCCTCTAGTCAGGGGGAGAGTGAGCCCCCCGAAAACCCTTTTGACACCGAAACCGAGCCACAGCGTGGTAGTTGGCAACCTCCCAAAGAGCCATGGCATGCCTTGGGCCGATAGCTTCAGCTTGTGCGGCCCGGGCCAAGAATTACACAGGGCTTCAGGTTCCCATTTTGGCCCCACTTTCCACTGCAGGTATGGCGTGATGTTAGCCGCCACAAGGCCTGCTTGGGAGGTCTGAAGGAGGTATGCACATCCCTGCCATCTTCATCAGTACAAAAACTCGGTACTAGCAACAGCCCATGTCTGAGGTATCCAGCCAACTCGGCAGCATGCAGCAAAGATCACAGTACAAGTCTTGCGCAGGTATAGAGTATAGAGAAGGGCACAGCAAACTGACCCGAAGCTGATGGTGTCCAGTGACAGCACCACCACGCACTTGCTGAACTTTGTCGTTCCACCAGTGTAGGCGTAGAGCCTTAGCAACTAGACGATCTTATTACAATGGCATGCGCCATGATACGGTGTGTAGGGGCTGGCCCTTGATCAAACGATACAAACCAGCCACCCTCAAACGGGCCAAAGCGCGAATCATGCGTCGTGTCTCCCACATGTCTCGCTGTGTCCATGCATAGGTTTGCGGCTGTCAAAGCCTCCCAGAAAAATCATGTTCACAAGGATTTTTGGGAAGCTTTAAGAAGCCCGGCACTGTTCAAAGGGCCTAAACCCTAAGCCTAAGGTCCATTCATGGTAAGCCTTGCACCCGTTTACGTGGTAAACAGCTTGCGCAAAACAACCTTAGAGCCAGAAATAGACAAGCCACAACACCGAGTCTGGGCTCACTCCCGCTTGCCCCGGCTCCTCATACAAGAGGCGGTAAAGGCTCACTCTCTTAGCTGGGCCGTGCCACATCCCATTCGGCGTTGGGAGCTGGGCCGTGCCACATCCCTTTAGGGGTTGGGAGTTGGTAGTTGGTTGTGGGCTGAGGGTTGCTGGTTGTCAAAAGCACTTCGCCAACCCAAACACTAACTGAGCCTAAGTGGGCCTCAGCCCCAAAAAACAATGGTGCGACGGCTTGATTCCTCCCTCTTTCTCTTCTTTGCCTGAGTGGAAGGGGCGTGTTTATGTGCCCGTTTTATGTCTAGCGCCCCCATCTGCCAAACTCCGCTTCAACTCCCATGCCCCTCCTGCACCTCAAGTGGAGCCGTGGCCGCATGGCGAATCCTGGGATGCGCCGATAAACCCTAATAACCGTTTACTATTCAGACCTATTACACCTGGGAGGACCACCAGGAGCATCTTACGGAGTGACAACGTCCGGCCAGACTGAAGGAAGCTGCTGTTGCGCAGTCGACCCCGAAACGCCGCAGGGTGATGGGGGTGCCCCCTGACTTCCATCCATGTTGCTGAGGGGCCTTAAGAGCTTAGGGCTTATAAGGCCAGGCTTAGGGCTTACGGTTGAGGGCCGCATGAAGCCATGAGCTCCCTCAGCCCTGACCTGGGGCTAAAGCCCATAAGGTTCTTCAGATCTGGGTTCGGACGCTTTTCAGCATTTCAAGGGGTTGGTAATGGTTGGTAACCTGTTAGTCTTCTTTTTCGAAGCTGAAGTCTCCGGAAGTCGCGAAACAGCCAGCCTAGATCCTCGTGCACGGCCACCCTTCTTGGGGTCCGCTGTGTCGGCTTTACTGACGGGGCAGTGCCTAGTTTAGCCCCTTGCAGAAAAAGCAGCATGCACGACCTGATTAAACTAGGCCCCTATACATTGGGATGTTCACCTTTTATACTAACAATCCCTAACAGGGATTATGGTACCCCTTTTCTTTGGACTGTTAGTATAAAGGGGGAACATCCCAACCTTTATAAACCCTAAACCCTAAACCTGAACCATAAAACCCGACCCCTAAACCCCAAACCCCAAATCCTGAACCATGAACCCGAAAACCCGACCCCACCCCCCACCCAAATAAACACTTCCGAGTCTCTGCTCTGCAGTCAGCACCCTGCAGTCCAGTGGCAGCTCCTCGAAGCCGGTGCCCTGCGAATGCCCGGCATGTTCATATGTATTTGGCAGACGTAAAGATTCTGAATATGGTGTTGTTACATATTGTTTATACATCTATATGTACATATATATATATAGCTCACCCCCCCCCAATGGACCCACCGCGGATGGCAGCCGAGTCCTAGCCAGATCAAGGCAAAAAACAACAAAACAAGAAACTAACAAAAACCAACAAACCAAAAAAATCCAAAAAACCAAAAAAACCAACAAAACCAAAAAAACCAAAAAAACCAAAAAAAACCAAAAAACAATCTTTTCCAAAACTATGGGGCTGGGGCCTCCAAAAGATGGTTTTTTTGGTTTTCTCGAGAAAAAGATGGTTTTTTTGGTTCGAAACCATCTTTTTCTCGAGAAAAAGATGGTTTTTGAGCAGCCGCTCTTCGAAAAACCATCTTTTTCTCGAGAAAAAGATGGTTTTACCAGGACAAGACCTCCAAAAACCATCTTTTTCTCGAGAAAAAGATGGTTTTACCAGGACAAGACCTCCAAAAACCATCTTTTTCTCGAGAAAAAGATGGTTTTTCCAGGACAAGATCTCCAAAAACCATCTTTTTCTCGAGAAAAAGATGGTTTTTCGAAGAGCGGCTGCTCAAAAACCATCTTTTTCTCGAGAAAAAGATGGTTTCGAACCAAAAAAACCATCTTTTTCTCGAGAAAACCAAAAAAACCATCTTTTGGAGGCCCCAGCCCCATAGTTTTGGAAAAGATTGTTTTTTGGTTTTTTTTGGTTTTTTTGGTTTTCTCGAGAAAAAGATGGTGTTTTGGTTCGAAACCATCTTTTTCTCGAGAAAAAGATGGTTTTGAGCAACCACCCTTCGAAAAACCATCTTTTTCTCGAGAAAAAGATGGTTTTACCAGGAGAAGACCTCCAAAAACCATCTTTTTCTCGAGAAAAAGATGGTTTTACAAGGACAAGACCTCCGGAAACCATCTTTTTCTCGAGAAAAAGATGGTTTTTCCAGGACAAGATCTCCAAAAACCATCTTTTTCTCGAGAAAAAGATGGTTTTTCGAAGAGCGGCTGCTCAAAAACCATCTTTTTCTCGAGAAAAAGATGGTTTCGAACCAAAAAAACCATCTTTTTCTCGAGAAAACCAAAAAAACCATCTTTTGGAGGCCCCAGCCCCATAGTTTTGGAAAAGATGGTTTTTTTGTTTTTTTTGGTTTTTTTGGTTTTCTCGAGAAAAAGATGGTTGAGTTTTAGGGGTTTAAGCCTCGTGCACTACAGGGTTATAAGGTTCTAATCCTATAGGTATTGCCTTAACCTTTAACCCTAAACCTTTAACTTTAAACCCTGCAGGGTTAACCCCGTGAGAAATTTAGAGATAGACCCCGAAAAGACCCTAAACCTTCTTACACGGTGTAATGGTTTAAAAACCGATAGGACATGTATACCTTCAGCGCCTGTAGGGTTCAAGCCTTTGAACGTGCTAGACCCCTATAGGGTGCTAAGGTTCTGACCCTAAAGGGTTTAGGGTTAAGGCTTAAATGCCCTCTAGGTTTAAATGCCTAAGTCTTAAACCCCAAACCTTTAAACCTTCATCCTATGGGGTTTGAAGGTCAAGGGTTTAGGCTTGATTGCCGAGGGCTTTAGGGTCCTGACCCTAGAGGGTTTAGGGTTAAGGAATAGATGCGTAAACCTTAAACCCTTAAGGTTTAAACTCTATGGGCTTAGGTTTTGATGTCTAAATTTTAAACCCTAAGCCTTGAAACCTTCAAACTACAGAGTTTAGAGGTGTTAAGGGTGACAAATTGATTACATACTTAGCTTTAAATGCCTGAATCTTAAACCCCAATTCTTTAAACCTTAACCCTATAGGGTTTAAAGGTTAAGGGCTTAGTGTTAATCGCTGTCTTAGGTTTAAATGTCTGAATCTTAAACCCTAAAACTTTAAACCTTCACCCTATAGGGTTTAAAGGTTAGGGTTTAGGTCGAATCGTCAGCTTAGATTTAAATGTCTAAGTAAAGAATCCTAAACCTTTAAATCTCATCCCTATGGGGTTTAAGGTTAAGGGTTCAATATGAACTGCCGGCATAGGTCTAAATACCTAAACCTTAAACTTAAACCCTAAACCTTTAAATATCTTAACCCTATAGGGTTTAAAGGTTAAAGGCTTAGCGTTAATTGCCGGAATAGGTTTAAATGCCTAAATCTTAAGCCCGAAACCTTTAAACCTTAGCCCAACAGGGTTTAAAGGTTAAGGGTTTAAAATTAGTTGCAGGCTTAATTAGGTTTAAATGCCTACATCTTATATCCTAAACCTTTAAAAATCTTAACCCTATAGGGTTTAAAGGTTAAGGGCTTGGCTACAGGTTTAAATGGCTAAATATTAAACCCTAAGCCTTTAAACTTTAACCCTACAGAGTTTAAAGGTTAAGGGTTTAAAATTAGTTGCAGGCTTAGTTTTAAATGCCTACATCTTAAAGCCTAACCTGTAAAAATCTTAACCCTATAGAATTTAAAGGTTAAGGGCTTAGCTTTAATTACCGGCATAGGTTCAAATGCCTAAATCTTAAACCCTTAACCTTTAAACCTTAACCCTACAGGGTTTAAGGTTAAGGGTTTTTTTTTGCAGGCTTAGGTTTAAATGCCTAGATCTTAAATTATAAACAAAAGCCAACAGAAAGAAAAACCCTCCGTGTGTGTGTGAGAGGGTGAATTAAGCAATACAGTCAAAAATCCGGTCACCGGAAAATCACCAGACAGCAGAGGTT